AAAAAAAAAAAAAAAAAAAAAAAAAAAAAACGTAAAAACGTAAGCATAAAAACATGTCGACATGCCCCCTACATTAATAAGTAAAAGAACTGCATAAAGTGGGCGGCTTCAAATGGATTCAAAATTGATGAAAACGTTTACATAATGTACGCATTTTTTACTACAAATTATGTTTTGTTTTTCACATATAGAGAGCAAATATGAATCGTGAAAATGCGGTCCTTTTTAAAATTTTCAAATGTGTTATACACGCGGTCTATTTTTAAAGGTACAAAAGGGTGCTCTGCCAAATTAGATCTTGTAAAGAAGTGGTAACGAATGAACTCTGCTGTGCATGGGGGCATGTACCTATGCGTCCATTGCATTTGAAGGGGGTGAACCATGGGGATGCGTTTGGACACATTTTATAACCCAGGGAAGGGCACAAATTTGGGAAAAACAAAACAAAGGGGGTCAACCACCCACCACACAAAATGCCCTTATTTCGTTCTCTTTCCCCTTTTCATTATTTTACACTTTTATTTTTCGAACTGGTGAGATCCTTTTGCTTCTCGATTAGCAAATTTTCCATTTTCAACTTGATATCTTTTTCCTTTTTTCTTTTAATTCTTTTCATTTGTTTTTCAATGGAAGTTACATATTCGATAATATATTCCTCCTTCAAGAGTTCTAAATTTTTTAGTACACTATTAAAACCTTCATTCGTTTTGGAAGAAATGCCCACCGTTTTTATACCCTCGTAAAATTCATTAATCATGAGTGCGCACGATCTGCTAAAGCTGGCCATGTAGCTTTCATCATGTATAACATCCTCATTGAAACTATCATAATCCTTCATCCACTCGATGCATTTATCATGTTTGATAATATCAACCTTGTTGAAGCAAGCCAGAAAGGGAAGTCTAGCTTTGTATAAAACACTACACGCATATAGCATATTGGACATAAAAGTGATAGGTCTTTCGCATCTAACAGTGTCAATAATGTAATTAATAACCACGGGGAAGCTAACTGATAGGGTTTCTAAAATAATATTGCCACTTGCTGACCAGTTAAATACTTCAATTTGCCCCGGCGTGTCCACAATTATGTAGTGTAATTTATTTTTTCTCTTTTCCAAAATTTCAATAACTTTGTCAAATCTTGTGGCAAATAAATTTAAACACGTCATTATTGCGCCATTTGGCCCTAGTTTATACTCTTTCATTATTTCGTGATATTTTATGCTATCTCGAATATCTATGTTTACTGGATATTGCAGGTACTTAACAGCTGGGTCCAAATTCATTGTGTATACTTTTTTTTTTTTTTCTACTTTTAGGTAATTATATAATGACCCGACGTATGTCGTCTTCCCACTTCCAGCCATGCCGATTACGATTATAACGGTTGGCAAGTCTTTGTAGTAATCTTTCAGGTTGGTCTCTTTGTCAGTTTGACGACTTTCGCATTCATTTTCCCTTTTCACGCTTGTCCCCTTCCCATTCGGTTCACACATTGGGAAGTTTTCCCTTTTCATATTTGCCTCATCAGCTTTGGGTGGACTCGTTTTATTTTCCTTTTCCGCAGACAGTTTGGATTCTTTTTCATTTTGCAGCAAACTGTCCATTTTTTTTTCTCCTTTGTTTACACGTTGCGTTACATCCTGTTCGCTAATTTGGTTTGTGGAGTCAACACTTATACACTCCCTTTTGTCAAATTTCATTTCATGATTGTCACTTTGTTGATTTTCCGTTTCGGCGCGCTTATAATTTTCTTTTATTGAAATGTTATTACTTGCTTCATTTGCACTTTGTTTATCTTTTACCCTATCTTCATACCGTGCGTTGTTTATTTTGTAATTATCAATTTTAAATAGGTTTTTGCCCTCACTTTCTACTTGGCCTTTTTCCTCATTTTTTGCTTCATTTTTTTGTTCCATTTTTTTGAAACACGCGCTTCTGGACTATCTTAACCTTGTTTAAATTTGGCATACAATTTTTGAAGGTTATGCAAAATTTAAAAGCAGTCGCTTGTTTCCCATTAAGCGAACTGGGGTCAAATATGCATATTGCTAAATGCTCATATTTTTAAGTGTTGTATTGTACCAGCATATTATGCATATGTGGTATATATCTTTTTTAAGCAAGAATGTTCTGCTTCTATGCCTTGCTAAAAAAAGCCCTTATTGTTTTTAACACGGAAAAAGGGTAATTGCACCAATTGGTCATTTGTTTTGTGCATTAAATTCAGCTACATATTTCATGAATTATTTGACTGGGTATTCCATTTTTCACATTTTAAATCGGCGCATTTTTTTTTTTTTTTTCGCCTTGTTTCCTATATGAGGAACAAAAAGTCACCGTGGGGAATTAAAGCAATCTGGCATTTTGTGATATTTTTACCTAGGGAAAAAAAATAAAGCAGAGCAAAACAAAATGCCTTTTGAGTACATTGAATTGAATAAGGATTTTTTTTTTTTTTTTAAACAGCTAAAAATACACTTTGCACTGCTGAAAATTTATATACGAAGCGTACAAAAAAAAAATGACAAATGTTGCAACATATTTTACCGCATTGTCCTTTTTCAGCCTTTTTAAAAAAAACGGAAGGTTCAGAAGTGAGTGCTCGAAGTACATAGTTTGCACATTACTTGGCTACAAACTATATGTGTGAAAAAATGGCTAACTTGTTGATCTGTGTTATTTTTGTTGGGGAAACTAATACATGTTTCAACTGAAAATTTGCTTCATTTCGTGGTCTATCAAAAAAAAAGTAACATTACACACTTTTTGGATAAATTTGGCAGTTATATAAAAGCTGTGAACAGCCTTTTGTTAAATATGGGGGAAACTGATATAAACGAATTAACACCTGGAAAAGGCTCATTGTTATTTTACTTAAAATAAGCTTATATATATACAGCCGGTACGGTGAAATGAAAAGATGCAGACGCGTGAAAGGCAAAATTGTTCTACTCCTGTGCAAAGTCCCGTTTCGGCATTTGTGCAGGTTTGCATATGTTATGAAATGTTTTTTTCAAATGATGAACGATGTTACAATCGACGTTCGAAGGTTCGCTTGTGTACATGTATCTATATGCATATATAATTGTTATGGAGGCATGCCTGATGAAATAATAAACAAAAGCGGATTTGTCTTTTCAGTTTTGTTTATTTAAGAGATTTCTTTTTGCGCTTTAAATTTAGCTGCTTTCATTGGGCGTAAATATTTAAATAATTCTTTCTTTCAGGAAAGTATTTATCTCCTTTCTGTTAGCAGAATTGGGCGATTCGCAAGGGTAATGTAAATATTTTTATACAATTGTACGTTGAGCATTGTGTATCAGGACTGTTCTTACGGCTGTGTTTGCTTTTTACATGAATCATTACATAAATATAAGCCACATGTGTTGAAGTTTAAATTTTTCATTTTTTTTTTTTTTTTTTTTTGTAAAAAGTAATTTATTACTTTCGAGTATAGATAATCCGTTCGAATATGCTGCACATAAACTAATTAATTAGCTGTGTGAAAAACGTGTGAAAAAGACCCATCACAAGTTTTATGATGAGGGGTAAAAAAGTATATAAGCAATTTTTTTTTACGCATGAATATGTCAAATAATGTTCTTTATTTTATCCGAGAAATTCCTTCAACACGCATGCAAAAATGGTTCATGTGTATTTCATATAATTCTGCTTGTTCGATAGTCTGCGACTTGGTTCAGTACACCAAAGGTTCAACATCCATAATGATTAAACAGAACAAAATAAAATTGGCCCATGAATCTGCATTATATCGTAAATTTTGTTCGCTCTTGCATTTACACTTTTATGTTTCTGCTAGATAAAAAATAAACATTCAGTTCTATGTTTCAGTGGACAGAAAAAATTAAGTGCTTAAACAAAAAATATTACGAAGGAAATACAAATTCTGAATGCGTGTTAAGTATTTATATAAGAGATACAATACTGAGGTGAAAAAGGAAAACAAAAAAAAAAAAAAAAAAAAAGCATAACCATTATGTATGGCAATAAAGAAAAAGATACATACATATCGTAACAATTCTTGTGACTCTGTTATGTAATTTAATCAAACCCAGAAAAAATGAAAATGACGACGTTGTGCAATATAGCTATATTAACAATTTTACTTAGCAAAGTGGTGCATATTGTTTTGATCAAATTTGCAAGTAGAAAGGAAAGTGGGAAATTTTCGGCTTCCACATTTTGGACATTTTTTAAAAATAGTGAAGATGGATATAAAAGAAAAATCCTTACCGAACAAGAGGTAAAAAGGGAAATTGCAAAGTTGTCAAAAATGTATCTGCATATATGTGTTTATATATGTACTGAAAAAAGTCGGACACATATGAATAATTAAAACCTCCTTAACGATATAAAAATGATGTATTTTTTTTTGTCGTCATTTTGATTTTTTTTTTTGCCACTGTGCACAGGATTATAAGGATGATTTTTTAATGGATTTTATAATAGATAACAATGTGACTATTTCAGACAGTTTTCTGTCATTAGTAGATACAAGAATTCTCGATAATATAGATGTGAGACCAGAGGATATAACTGAATCTCTATCTATGGATGAAGACACGGAGAAAGAACAAAAAAGGATGTATAGGGAATGTTGCAAACTTTTAGGGAAAGCATGCAATGACCACAAAATAGCGAGCAAAAATTCGTTGACAAAAGAAAAGACAGAAGCTGCTACTGTAGAAAAAGGTAAAAAAGAAGTAGAAGAAACACCCAAAAAGACAAGAAGAAGGACAATCCAAAGTACAACACCTTCCAGATATTCTAAAAGAATACGTCGTAGGTATTTTGGGAAAAGGCTAAGTGAGTCAGAAGAACATGATGAGAACACAGAAGAAGAACAAGAAGACGAAGAAGTTCTTGTTCCGAAAGTACCAGAGCGTACATACGGAAATATATTCTTAACTAATTTTGAGAAAGAAATGGCAAAGAAGCAATGTATTCAACTTTTGGGAATACATTCATATAGGAACAAAACGTATATTAAACCAGACATTAGTAAACATCCAGATCCTGGTATTAGTAACATACCCTCCGATAATGAACAATTGGGTAAGAACAAACCATCAATAGAGTCTAATGTTGAATGTGGAAAAGACGCATTTTTATTGCAGTATGATGATATTATATGTGAGGTAAGATCTGAAGGAAGTGTGGACGATAAGGATTCTGAAGAAAACAATAATGAGGAGGATTCTGAAGAAAATACAGATAATGAAGATTCAGATAATTCGGAAAATTCAGTTTCCTCTCATGAATTATGGAGCGAATATGGACATGAACTCGACATAGGTTCAGACACAGAAACATCTTCCGAAACATTGGAACAGGAAATCGAAAGTTTAAAATATCATTAAGATAAATGTACTCAGAGGAATCTATTAGTTTTATAATTACAGGGGAGTTTAGATTAAAAAGGGGATGAAGCACAGTGTTCCGTGTCTTGTTGTATTCCCAAAGGAAAATAATAATAAGGAATGTAAAGGTGGATAGGAGTTTAAGGGGGCCATTTTTGTTCTGGTGAAAAAAATAAAAAATAAATTAATCAACATGGTTGTATCAGGAACAGAAAGAACGTATCTTTTAAATAATTTCCTTTTTAGGTTTCCGCATAAAAGATTTTTAGGGTATCGGAAAAAGAGTGGCCTTATGCAAGAATTCCTAAGTGTAATTTGTCAAGGGAACTTCACAAAAGTATATTATGAAGGGTGGGCAAATCAAATAATCGAAAAAATATTATAAAAAAATGGGAAGACATCTTGTATATTATCGTAATAAATATTGAAGGAAGTAATACATTACAACAAAAATTTATATTGTATATGTAAATAGGCACATAGGCATCATATAACATTATCTTTACAAGGGGAACATTAGAGCAATACTTAGAACTTATTTTTGAAAACGCGCGAATTTTTTGGAATATTTTTTCATTTTAATAGTTAATATATGTTTCCAGAATTAATTATGGCTATTTGAAGCAATTCGAGAAAATTGTGGCTTCAGGGTTGTATTAGCAATTTTAACCATTTGTGAGAATTGTGTGGAGAACCGCATGGAAAACTGTACGGTGGAAGTAGACGAAGAATAGTCTTGATCATAATTTTGCAGAATAGTTCACCTCGCATTTGTGTAGAACTGGGTGTATTTTTTGTAAATTAAAACGAAAATTTATGAATTTATAGCGTATATAAGAAATCTGCTTAAATTTTACCATGTATATAATTCTCCTTTTGTGACTTCATTTATCAAATTTTGTAGTCATTGTTGTGTTGCTGCTACACTAATGAATATGTGTCTTTTTCATTAAATGTTGTTTTTGTCCTTCGACCGTCCTTTTCATTTCTTATAGTTTTAGGTATTTATTTTTGTTTATAACTTATTCGAATAATAGAACATGTGAGGTATTTGCTAAAAAAAGAATATATTATGAAATGCCAAAATTGTGCAATATTCACAAAAGTGAAATGATAGATGTGCAACGAACAACGTAAGGTATGGCAGTCATTTGTCCTTTCTGCATCCACAACATTATGCTACGTTGAATTTTGCTTCCAAAGTGTGAAGTGAACTGTTGAAAAGAAAAGGAAGTGATGGAGGAAAAAAAAAATATTGCTCTGGAGAGCATTTCCCATGTTGAATTCTCAATGTGCGTATCTGTATTTCCTCGCCCATACAGCAATGACGTAATGGACAAAAATCCATTCCTTCCTGCATGTCTTTTTTTAATACTAGTTGGTGCTTTAGAGTTGTTTAAAATGTTTCAAGTGTAAAACTATTATCGTACATTAATCTTTCAATTTTTAGGTTCCTTATAATTTATATATTATTATATTACTTAAGAAAAAGGTTACTAGTCTGGCACTTTACAACATAATCAATGAACGTGTGTGAACAATGATGTAAACATGCATACACGGAGATGCATTACGCAATTTGTCATTTTGTGCTACAAATGAATCTTCAAAGTGGTCTAACAATGAATTCATTCGTTGGAATATAAAAAATGTAAGCTAAGAAAAATCACTCAACATAGTACATAAGGGAAAATAAAATATCGACAAGCACAGGAAAATAAAAGAATTGTCTATACAATATTCTACGTGAAGAAAAAATGTGCTCAATGAAGACAAGACATTACGCACACAATTAGAAATGCTCTGCGATTACGCGCCATGTGGTACAAAATAAAGAAATATATATATTCCGAGGCCATGCAACACACATTCATGTAATTATTTACACGTAGCAGAAATATAAAAGAACAGCTGAAAATTTTAACGCTCTTATTTCGTCGAATTGGATGGTTAAGAAAAAAGAAAAAAAAAAAATCCCCCCAATGTACGGCACAGGAGTACAAGTGTAATTCAGGTGTCTTCAATTTTATGGTGCAATACGTCATTTTTCAAAAGTCATTTTGGGTTCCTCCATCGCGGTCATTTTTTTTGGATCTGGGATTTTGCCCCTTCGATCATATTTCAATGTATGATGAATTCTGATTCCCCACAAGGTTGCATAGGCTAGAAGAATGCTTCCACATACAAGTGACATCATCACCAGCATATCCTTTCTTGATTTGGATCGTATTTTTTCATTTGCCTTAATTGTTTCGTAGTCTAATTTCTCAATGGGTATGTCCGAATAAACAGCCAAGCACGGAATTATTGCAATTAGAAATAAAAACAACACAAAAATGCTTAAATGGTTTGAAGCCTTCATTTTGGTTAAGTCGAGATAATCACACTTTTGTTTATTTAAGGGGTCACTGCGTTGTAGAACTATCCTTTGATTAATTACTTTGTGTTTTTTATCGCTTATCGATTAAATGTGTTTTTTGCACATGACTGTACAAATTAAATATGTACAATCGAATATTTACAATTGAATACGTACAAATGAATATGTACAATCGAATATGCAGAATTTAATATGTACGATTAATTAAAAATTGCGATCATTATGCTGAAAAGGAGTTCATAATTTTGGGGGGGGGTTTTTTGCTTTTTAATTATTTTAACATGTGCATGCATTCAGTGGTGTGAATTTTGTAGTGGTTACAAAGGTGCTTTTATTGCGCTCAAAATTTGACACTTTAGTGGGTCCAACAACCAGTCCACATAAGATTCCATGTATACGTTTCCCATTTTTGCACTTCAAATAAAAGAGGATATTGATCAGTTTTTTCAATTTTAAGAGAAACAAAAAAAGGCGAAAAAATGGGCAGAATTATATGTGGCAAAAGGCCTTGAAGGAGGGGGGACACACACACAAAAAAAAAAAAGGCTAAAATATGTTCGAAAAGGAGGAACAAAAAATATACATGAAAGAGGAAAACATTAAAGGAGTTCTATATTATGAGGAAAAGTGATTTCTGCGCATGCGTAGTTTTTTTGTGTTCATTTCATATTTGAAAGAATTGTTCACAACAGAATGTTTCTTTATGTAAGGAGAATCCGTCGAATAGAAATTTGTTCGAACGTAATTAAATAAACATACACACATACATATGTATGTATATATATATATCAAATTGAAGGATTTAATTGTATCGTTATTTCCACTTGATTGAATGATCCACACGCGCAAAGGCAAATTTTATTTTGTAACGCTTATGGGGATAGCAACCGGCTGATGGACAGATAATACACGATTTTTTTTTACAACAAAAGACCTTTATAACTCGCATAAAATAGAAACATTGGCTGTTACATTTATATCACGTATATATTTAACCTATTCTTGATGCGAACGAAACGTACATTATACATCTTGACACAAAAACGTAAAAGTACTTGCAAAGCAAATTGCCTTACAACGTCCACGGATGCTACGGAGTGTTGTCATATTATAACGATAAATCTGCAACATTGTGTACATATGCATTTTTATGTTTATTTCTCGATTTTTTTTAACTCCCATTTTTTTTATATAAACGTTCATAATTTGCAAAAGTCGTCCTTTTATTTGAGTCACGAAACGTGCGCGCACGTTTAGACGCTTCGAAACACCACTGTGTCAGTTGTATGTATTTGTAAGGGGTACATAACAGTTAAAAAGAAGGAGCGCTATATGTATGAATTTCGTGGACACATCATACATTTTATGCGTACCCTTAGAGAAAATACACATTTTTGAATTTTGACAAGTTCGTACCTTTTATTATTCTTCAATATAAATTAACTATAAAAATATTTTTTCGGAAATGTTCCATTTCGTTATACAAGAAACGTAATGTAGGAAAAAATAGGATAAAAATATGACTTGCCTCTAGCAAAATGAATACCCAACAGAATAACGGCATAACCTTAAACACAGAATAGGTGAACAAACAAATTTTACACAAAAGAAATTATATACGTTACAAATACAATATATATAATAAATACCCTATGCTGTTTTACTTCAGTTCTGCATTCTTTATATTGGAAAATCATTATATTTACTTATATTATATTGAAAACAAAGAATTCATCCTATTCTGTCTATAAATAAATGCTATGTTTTGTTTTTTTTTTCGCACTTAAACAAAATTAAAATGCGTATTCTTGTGTGTACGTATGCTTATTTGAAAATGCTGTACTGGTAATTCGTTCCGGTAATTATAAGTAGGTACAAAATGAAAGAACTGTACTCTCTCATAATAATTATTTTACAATCTAAAAGGGAAATCAGTGTTATAGCACGTAAATATTCCTTTATTTGCGTGCATAAAGACAACAAATGCTTCCTTTTTTACTTTTTTTTTTTTTTTTCTCATTTATACTAATAAAAACATAGTAATAAAACTGAAAAAAAATATAATAAATTGATCGTTTTTCATAGATATAGTATATATTCATGAAAATATATTTTATTTATTAAAATTATGTAAGGGAACCAATAAAAATAATACTTAAAACAAAACTGAAGAAGAATGCATCAGGGGTAATCTTCAAAAAAAAAACATAAAGGCCTTTATTTTTTGGAGAATTCTGGAAAAATGGAGAAAAACTTAAAAAAATATGCACTTAATACATTATATAAACATTTGCCTTTTTTTTATGATTTTTTTAAATGGTGCTATTTTGCGAATATTAAAATGTGAACAGATTTCATATATTATGTACAATTTGCTAATTATATGTCCATATATTTCCATAGGTATTTTTATATATGTTCATATTATACAACAATGCAAGTAAATATAAATAAACAGTAAGATTTGCAGTTTATATTAATATGCAAGCTCTTAATGGCGTAAGCGTCATTAACTGCTGTGCGGGGCGTAAATAATTATATACATAAAAAAAGTATATAACGGCGTTTACTGAAAAAATATTTTGACCTATTATATCGTGTAACCTACACTATTATATTTCTGAAAATAATTATTATCCATAAGAGCAAAAAATATAATTAACCGTGGTTGTACTTAAACAAAAAGATTATAATAAAATTTTTTTTACCAATTGGATATTATCATTTTTGTGTAAAATATACAGCTTAATAATGTATTTAATATATATAAAAAATAAGAAAAAAATTTTTATTTACAAAATTTGTATTTTTTTAATGATGTTATTTATGTCTGAAAAAACATTTTTATTTTTTTACAACTTTGTAAAATATGTTTGTACAAGTATTATGCATGCGTGGCACGATTAAAATTATTTTATAATTTGTGCAATCTTGTTTTCAAATTTTCCAGGAAATTCTTTTATTCTATGATGGATGTGAGCATTTTTTTTTTTTTTTGTTTAATGTTTATATGATCGTTTTTATTATTCTGCAAAATTTGCTGTATAAACATTTCGCATTTTTATAAGAGAACATTTTTACAATGGTTTAAAAATTCTCTATATGAATATATACATTATTATGTAAATAACAATATATAAATATGTATTTTTTTTTTTTTTTTTTAATATTATGAATTAATTGAATTTAATTTTTATTTTCCCCCTTGGTGTTATTATAATGGTTGAAAATGAAGTAAATGACCAGGATATAAGATTTGTGCGTAGCAGGGAACGGCTGGATGGAAGACCAACGATTCGTTCATTTTTTAACAAGGATGGTTTGTTATTAAAAACATATGGTTGGATAGTAAAAAATGCGGTGGGCCTTATTGTATTAATTCATGGATTAAATTCACACACAAGGTTCTCATTTTTGAGACATAACGTCCATGTGTTAAATAATAATAGAGCAATATTAATGGACGGAAATAATTATTACATTTATAAAGATAGCTGGGTAGAACATTTTAATAAACATGGATATTCCGTTTTTGGGTTAGATTTACAAGGTCATGGCGAATCAGAAGGGTGGAATAATTTAAGCCTTAATGTAAAAGATTTTGATGATTTAGTACACGATGTGCTCGACTATATTCCAAAAATTCAAAATGATAGCATACAATATTTGAATAATGATAGTGGCACAAATAGTACAAGCAATAGTGATAGCAGAAGAAGAGGTGAGTCGTCTAGTAATGATCGTTTGGCCAATCCAATAAGAGCACCTCTTCCAGTATATCTAATTGGTCAATCTATGGGCGGAAATGTTGCTCTAAGGGCATTACAGTTAGTCGGAAAATATAAGGGTCTTAATAGAAGACTAAATATAAGAGGTTGTGTATCATTATCTGGTATGATTTCTATAGAATCATTAGGATTACCAAGCTCATACATGTATAAATGTTTCTTGATGCCCTTGTCAAGATTCATTTCTGATTTCTTACCAACATTAAGATTTTTATGCGAACGTCCGTATAGAAGATTTAAATATATTCGTGACATAGGTCGATATGACACAATGCGTTATAGAAGAGGTATAACACTCAGACTTGCATATGAACTTTTAAAAGCAATGTATAATTTAGACCGTGATCTGAGACACATGCCCACAGATATCCCGGTAATGCTTATTCATTCTTCGAAGGACAAATTGTGCTACCCTGGAGGCGTTATTTCATTTTATAATAGACTACATATTGGTAATAAAGAACTGCACCTTTTGAATTATATGGAGCATATGCTAACTATGGAACCGGGAAATGAAAGGGTCTTATATAAAATTATGTATTGGCTTCAAAACATGGCAAGGCCACAAACAGTCAGCGCTCCGAAGATTAATTAAAAAAAATATCATTTATGCGGATAACTATCTTATGATGAGAACAATGTAGACAGTTATCTCACTCCTGTGTATGTGCACAAACATGTAATTGTATTTATAAAATTACGCATATATGTGTGCATTTGTTTAAATTTGTAATGTGGGATGTTACTACAATGACATCTGTTTTTTTTTGTTTTTTTTGTTATGCTGAAAAAAGTTGCTTTTTTCTTCACTCTGCATGTTATACTCTCTTAATATCAAATTAATGTGTCATATTGTATTATCAAATGTCATATTATAACATGCCAAATGTTTTATTCATTTTAAAATTCTACTTAAAATATAAAATTATAAACAAATAAACTATTCGTATTGAGTTATAATTTTATTAACGTAAAAATAATTAGCTATGGATTAGTATTTTATATATTCACAATGCTTTTCATTTGTGGATCATTGGAAAAGGGGAGGTGTGTAGAAGAATAAAATAAAATCGTTGCAATAACAAATTGATAGAAATTGTTCCATCATAATTGATCTCTCGATGTGTGTTGAGAAAATGTTAATGCCAAATAGACACACGTTTTTGAAAGATATAAAGCATGTACAACATTATTATTAGCTTGTATATTGCTAATAGAAATAAAGAAAATTCATGGTGAGTAGAAAGTACACAATATTTGCCTACATATATTAACAAAGGAAAAAATAAAAATGCAGTATGAACAGATATGAGTGAAATATATTTCCCACAGTGCATGTAATTTCCATAAAAATTAATATGAAGATAACCACCATAGAATAGTTACCACTTCAGTTAAATAGGAGAACCACCCATGAAATTTTCTTGTTTTGTAATATTTTACAAAATTTTACATCGAAAAAAAAAAAAAATTAAGTTGTTTTAATTTTAAAGTAACCATGTAGTATTATTCATATGGACACTCCTAGGATAAAAAATATTTAGAGGCAATCCATGTGACAAATAGTTATTTTTTTGCAATAATGGAACTACTACAGTATGACAGAGTTTTGGAAGAAAAGGGGGATCATAAGATAAAAGGTAAGATATTATTAATAAGAAATTGTTAACTTTATTAGTAACAAAAAAAATATTAAATTAATATCATTTAACATATTTTTATAATTCCTTACTGATAAATATTATGTATGGAATTAAATGAAGCAAATAAATAGCATATACGAAACAAATATGTATGTATTTCTCATTATGTAATGATGAAATTAAATCTATTTTTTCAAAATTTAACAAAAAAAAAAAAATGGCGCAAATTGTAGTATGCTATATATTATTCTTGTCCTTTTTACATATATGTAACGAAATAATTATGTAAAAAGACACTGACACCAAAGTATGTATGAAATTGTCATAATAAGTGCAATGTATATGGGATAAAATCGTTCAATTATGTACTTTTAAAGACTGCTTTACAAATTCAATTTTGATTATAATAATGTTGAAGCAAGAAGATGTGATACATATACAAATATTGTGGTTAAATGATCAGATACAAATTTACAGGGAACAAACAAAAAACAAATGCTATAATTAATTTTATCAATGTGTATAAATGCGTATACACATATTTACTCCTACATATGCATATGAACATTATGCACAACGAAAAAAAATTTTTATATTTATGTACAGAATATGCCTTTTTTTTTCCGCACATAAATAAGGAAGGAGATCCCTTAAAAACAAATGCGCATAAAAAACGTCTTATTTAAACAAAAAAAAAAAAAAAACAAATAAAGTTGGTATTTCATATAGCAACTTTTAAAAAAGATACTTCAATTTTATATGACAATTACGGATCACCACCTTGATAATTACATTTTCAATTTAAACCAACATTCACACACATATATTCTTGTTCCCATTTGTTAAAGACCATTCGGTTATACTTTTTTTTGTTTTCATCCCTCGTTCTATTTATGGCAGAACCTAATATGTATTTGAAAGAATTCCCATACATAAGAACTTTTATTTTTTTTTTTTTAAAGCAATTTTTCTATATTTCTTCCCTTTTGTGTGCTGCAGCACTTATTATAATTATGCTTCCACAATCCTATTAGTATATAACAATACCCTTCTCATCCATTTCCTTTCCTTTCCTTTCCTTAATCTTTTGGATTGGACATTTTTTTGTTAGTATAATTTTCTTCTATATACTTGTGTGTCCTTAAAAAGCCACACATGCCATTCTTTCTCCTTTATCCATGTGGCAAGTAAATTTTGCTTCCACTTTTCAAACATTTCAGTCCTTTCATTTTTCCATTTTATCCATGGCAAAACAGGCTTACTAAGAAATTCCTGTTTTTTCCTTTCGGTATACATTTCCCATTGTCTCTCTTCACTATCGGTTCTCTCTTTCCATATAGCCCAATTCTTTTTATCAATCTCTTCTTTCGATTTATCCTCTGATCCATTAATTTCCCAATTAGCCCAATATTCATCTTCTTCAGCTTTCCACTTTCTCCTTTTCCATTGTTTCATCCTTTTATTTTTCCATTTATCAAAATTATCTATCCTCCAATTTTCTAATTTGTGTTTATCTTCCTCAACCCAATATTTCCAATCGTTTTCCATAGATTCTCTAATTATTGTCCGAATCCACTCTTTCCATTGCTCATTTGACCAAGTTGTATTTTTTCTAAAAACATCAAGTATGTATTCATCTCCCGAATGTTCGGGGGGTTCCCTCGATTCATTCATCATTAATGTAACCCATTCTTCCCATTGAGAATCTGTCCAGTGTAAAGAATTTTTTATGACATTGAGTACACATTCATCCATATTTTTGTTGTAAAATGACCATCTATTTTTCATTGCTTTTAGCCATGCTTCCCATTCCAGTTCTTTTTTGTCAAACCAAGAAGATGTCAGATCTTTCATGCGCGTATTGAAATTTCCCCAACCGTCTTCCACTTCCTTCATAAAATTACCCCATTGATCCTCTTTCCATTCTTCTGGCATATCCATGGATTCGTCGCCCTCTAAAGTGGTACTTCTATGATGCCTCCTCGTTTTCGTTTTTGTCTTATATTTCTTAACATACTACAAAGAGTAAAAAAAAAACAAAACAAACAAAAAAACGCACACACATATATATATATAAATATATATGCACATTTTATCTATTGAAATTTTGACATCTAAGCAGAATGCATAAGTTTTATAGTATCAAATCGTTATGCTACTTTTTAGCTTACCTCACTTAAAGCAGGTAAGATATCTGAAGCGGACGATAAAATACTTAGCATGCTTGTCACATAAGAAAGAAGGAGCATAATTTTCATTTTGGATAACGCATAACATGAATTTAATTCTGAGTGTTATTATAAAATATCAGTAGAAGAACGAATTCTGCTATATGTTACATATATACATTCGCCTTCTATATTCGTGTACTTGCACATATTTTAAAGACAAATAAATAACTATTTTACACTTAAAAGAACTATCTACAAATATGATTGCACCTAATCATGTAGTGCACATTAGTCTGTGTATATTTCATATTTACACATATATTTTAATTGATATTATAAGAAACAGTACACACTAATATTAGGAAGGACTAAAAAAAAAAAATATAATAAGTAAAATCTAAAATACCAAAAAATTAAAAAGAAAGAAACACAAAACGTTTTATTATTATTATTATTGTTGTTGTTGTTATCTGATCAAAAACGTAATTATAGTGTGAAAAGGAAATTAATTAACAAATATTTTATTCAAATTGAAATGGCGATTTTGTTCTGCTATAATTGATTCTGTGGAGAATGTCCCCATAAATGTGTATAGAAAACAGCATTTAATTATATATGAATTAGTGTTATACATCTATACAAAAGTCAACAAAATGTTTAATTCATATGTACATATGTTCATGTATTTTATTTGATTTTTTTTTTTTTTAAATTGGTTATTACAGAAAAGAAAAATGAGCGCTATATAATACTATACATTTTTAAATTCTACATTGCTTTCTCGTACAGAATTTAGATTATAACTCATTGCAAACAAGCGTTACTCTTATTTGCTATTTTTTTAAAATTCAAAAAAGATATATTTATTGTAGTGAGAGTGCTAAAGGGAATATTTCAGATAAGTACAAAATAATCTGTTCGTTCTAACAATTATAATTACATGGTGGCATAACCATGTTCTATGTATATAAATAAACTGAAATCTCATATGTACATATAATACAACACAAATAAGAGCATATGTAAAAACACAAAGTAGAAATGTTCTTAATTTATTTACTATGTACACAAGTTAAAAATTAACAAAAAAATAAAATTATAGAAATTTATAAAAAGCTAAAAATAAGAAAAAAATAAAAAATTGCTATATATTCAGAATATCAATTATTTAATTCCTTTAAAAATTTTATCTAATATATACCTTTTTTTTTTTTTTTTTTTATTTTGCGCTATATTAATGTGTGCGTGTACACAGAATAAATCAACATAAATATGGTGTAAGGTTTTAAATTTAAGATTTTATATACAAAACCTTTGAAAAAATAGAATTAATTTAATACAAGGTAACACAAACCACTACTTAAAAAAATGCGCAAAATTATATATGTAATATATATTAATTCAGAAATTTGCTTACGTTTAAAAAATAAAAACAAATGATGAATTTTTCACATAAATAAGGTTATGAAACTTTGGCTGAAACCTTGCAGCATAATTGTTACCTAAGGTTCAAAAAAAAAAAAAAAAAAAATTGGGAATTATTTAATTATTATGGTTTTTTTTAAGGTTTTTATTTTTAAATCATATAATATCATTATAACTGTAAAAAAATAAAAACCCCAAGGGCAAAATGTCATTATACATTAATTGGTTAAAGAATTGGCATGGAAATATTGTTGAAATGTTAATTGATCTATTTAAAAAAGGTCGTATGGAATGTGAAAATTTTCCTCCTTCAAAAATGATAAAAAAAAAAATATATGGTAATGTTTTTCTTACCTATTATGAATAATGTATAGTTCCTTATAAAACTGCAAAGAATGGTAAAAATAAGACAGAACAAATAATATTCTGAATTGAAAGAGGCAAGAAAAAATTCATTGAAAGTGCACACAGCAGTGGTTTGCGAAAGTATACAGATTATAAAATATACGACTGGCTAAATGCGAAGAAATATATGTTAAATAGAAAAATTAATTACTACAACGTAATTTATTTAATGTAGTAATTAAATAATTTTGTACGGCGCATGTTCTCTATTTGTTTATGAATTAATCATAGTATGACGACGCTACGTTTTAATAGTCACAATGCGGAAGTAAAATTAAAGAGTTGCATTTACAAATTGCGCATGTAAGGAAAATATATATTTGATAACACCCTTTATAATTGTAAACACATTAATCTTATAGCTAGGAAATTACTAAATATTTTTCTCATAGGAGAAAATGCTTAACAAAAAAAAAAATATCATTTACTTTTTATATGTACCCATTTGAATTAAAGCATATCTTATTACAATAGCTGCATATTATAAAAATTTTGAATAGTGTAACACAATTATTAAGCCTTAATAATGGAACAAAATATAATCGAATGTGTTAAATGATAAGTGAACGTATTTTTTACATAACAGAATGATTTTACTTTACGGCTGCAATTTACAATGATTGTGCATATGAAGTGTGAACATTATAATTTTTTATGCAGTCTCATTGCATATGTGGAACTATTGAAAGTGTACGCTATATCAGCTATTATGGTTTTTCTTTAAAAAACCTTTTATACACCATTTTCTAACGAAGTGGAGGGGGAAAAAATAAAACAAATTAATTCAATTATTGGAAAACCTTCTAAATAAGAATTTAATCAGACAAACGATGTAACATACTTCCTTGTGTAACATTTTTATAATTCGAATCGAATATGCATCATTAAAATGTAACATTAATTTTTGTTATTGATTACACACCTGTGATGGATCTTCAATTTTCCGATTCTTTATAAAGAATGGTATAATAAACTATGAAGAGAACTGGTAATATTAATTTTTCAAAGATACTGAAAAATTATGTGATTTGTTGAACATTGTTTATTTAAGCCTAATAATAATAATATAAAGAAAAAAAAAAAAAAAAAAGAACACTCAAAAAAATATACGTCATTTTATTCCTAAATATGGCCAGATGGAATATGTTACAGTTTTATGCAATTAATACTGCAGTGGAGATGTAGTTTATATAGTCATATATGTGTAATTATATAAAATAACAGATTACCGTTGCGTCGAATTAAAGCTAATGTTATAGCCGTTTCTACAAATTAATAGAGCCAATCTGGTGCTGCCTGGTGTTCAACTCACTAAACTCAAATTCCACTACATGTATCACAATACAGGTTAATATACAAAATTGTTATGGTAACATATTTTCCTTTTTTTTTTGTTTTTTTTAATAAACCATATGTCTTGTCTAATGATTTAATATCAGATTCATTATTACATAAAACAAAAAAAAAATTATTATTTTTCATAAAAAACATAAACAAGCATTAAAACAAATTTCAAATTTTAATATATATATAACAATTATCATATTAAATTCAGACAAACAAAGAATACTCCAATGTGCATGTTCTCTAATGATGAATGGAGGAACATCACAAATTATGGTATGTCAAGAAAAAAAAAAATAAAATAAAATAAAATAATGTTACTATCAGTTTTTTAAAAGATATAAATAATAGGCACAACTGCTTTTACACGAGTTTCTAAATTAGTTATACGAAGGATTTGTTACATTTTCAACGATAAAGTTCTATTCCTTAAGGCAAAAAACAATGTAATTCTCTTATACAAAGCGGAATGACTTAAGAAGGGGCGTGGGTTCATGTAATAATTTTATGCTTTTTTTTTATTTTAGTTTTTCTATATAAGGAAATTTTAAGACACAATTGAAGCATTATTTAACCTAGGTATTTTATTCATTACCATTGTTGCCAGGAATATGAATAATTTTGATTGGGGTAAATTATAAATTAACACATTCAGTGTAACACAGAACAATAGACAAATAGTAAAATCAACTATAAAGAAGAACCCTAAAGAGACAAGTGATCCAGAATCATAAACATTTCTAATTATTTCTTTTTAAAATAAATCTGAAATAAAAGGACAATAATTCAAATGAAAATAAATTATCATCTTGTATTAATTTTTGATTGTACAAAATTTCTTTTTTTATCTCATTTTTTTTTTTTTTTTATATTATGTTTCATGCAAATGTGTTCTTTATCTTTTTCCATTTTTCATGGAGTTTTGAAATTTAATTTTGTTCATGCACTTTCTTTTTAATTCTATTTATTCCCTTTTGTATATTCTTCCGTTTGAATGTGAACAATTCAATTTTTTCCAAATCATGGAAGACGCATGAAAATGTATTTCATAATAAAATGTGGTCATTCAAACAACCATACAAGGTTTGGGAGGTGAGAGAAACATTAGATCGAAGGATTCAAATCACAGGAATATTTTTCTAATTATATTTCATTATTATATTATTATTATAAAAAAACAATACGAATGGTAAAAAACAGTATAATGTATCATGGGACTGTAAAACCGTTATTATACTTGTCCCTTTATTAGCTTTTTCTGTATTAACTTGAACAACAACTAATAATTGTCCCATCACTGATTTTGTTTATTTTAAATAAACATTAAACGTTATATATTTACAGTACCAAGTAAATATATTTTTCATTTGAGTCCTGTGCTCATATGAAAGGGCGGCTAATTCTTTTTTACATAATGATATATTATATATAATAAAATGGCCAAGAATAATTCAAAAAAGGTGTTTAAACAGAAAATAAATGCAATATCATATAAAATATATTTTACCCTTACAATTATTACGAAAAACAGAAATAGTTATATATACAAATTAAAAAAACTGAAAAGCCATTTTTAGAAATGGCGGACGATTGTATATTTTATTGGAAGTTCTAACTCAATTTTAGGTACAAATAAAATATTTTTTTAGAACACTTGTCGCGTTATATTGTATTTGTATTCTAGGAATGCAAGTTCATGTATTTTTTAAAGCTTAATAAAAAGATGCGTTCATGAAACTAAACATATATAATGGGATTAAAAAAATAATAATTTACCAAAAAACATTGCATTTAATTTATATTTAAATTTGATTATATTTTATTGGGCATGCAAAAATTATTATTATAGCAATAAGAATGTTGTAATTTTGGCACAATTGTATATAAATATTTGTTAATTATTTATCCCTTCTTTTTTATTTTTTGATATGTTGTCTTTTTTGTACACTTGCATACATTATAGGATTATGCAGTATATGAAAAAAAAAAATTTTTTTTCTTTTTTTTTTATGCGGTCTTATTATTCTTCTAAGGCAGATAAATCTAAAATATTATATATATGTATATTTTCCTTACAAAAATATGCGCGAGATTTTTTATGAAACAATCATGATTTGTTTCTTAGTTATAGTTAGAATTTGCAACATTTATATTACTTTTTTTTAAGGAAGTTTGATTTTTTTATTATTTTTATTAAGAACTATTTGTTTACGGAATAACCGGAAAAACGTATAAAAAAGTGAGAAGAACATATTATATTTGTGAATTTCTTCTGAGGGTTTTCTTTCCGCTATATTATATAACAATAATATTAAATAACATTTTAACTTCATATCATATTACTAAAAATGAGATTGTTACCTACGGTTTAATTTTTATCTGGATCCTTATACGTTTTATCCCCAAGTTTTAATAAAAACGTCTATGCTTCTGCTGCGGTACTATAAAAAAAAACAATAATATTAAAAATTTATATATATATATATATATATACGTTAAATATGTACTGAATGAAATATTGTGTCAACAAATTGATCGCGTACATTTTATTCAACACTTGTTTGCGCGTATCGTTTTCTGAACTTGTAACACATCCATAATATATTTTTGTTTTTTTTTTTTTAAACTGTGCTTTTAGGAAGCTCAAGTCACCGCAGATGGTGAAGATATTCAAAAGAAGGAACCATCAGTAGAAGGAAATGAGCAGGTAGCAACTGGGGATAAAGACGCAATTGGATTAAGTGATGCTATACAAGTTGGAAATATTAACATTACCAATGAAGGCATACCGCCATGCTCGGGAGAATGTCCTAATTCTGAATTCCAAGATCTGGTTAATGAAGTTATACCACCACCAGCCCAAGCACCACTGCCATTACAGACAGAAACTCCTACAGGACACAAACTGACACACTGGAACCAATGGATGCAGCAAGCTAAGAGCGATTTTTCAGGTTACCAAGGTAAAATGAATACCCACAGGCACGAATGGACCAAGGAGAAAGAAGATGAACTTCAGAAATTCTGTAAATATTTGGAAAAGAGGTGGATGAGTTATACAGGAAATATCGATAGAGCATGCAAATCCAATTTCTTGCAGACCGCTAAACGCTGGAATACGAAACAATGGGATAAATGGATGAAAAGTGAAGGAAAGCACCACATGAATAAACAGTTCCAAAAATGGCTAGACTACAATAAGTACAAGTTACAGGACTGGAACAAGTCTGAATGGAGCAAATGGAAAACACATGTTAAGGATAAGCTTGATGAACACATATGGAAAACAAGAGAGGTCTCTGGAAGAGCTAAAGAATGGATTAAGTATACCGATAAAATGGAAAAGAAATTTTCAAAGGAAAATAAAAAACACTGCAAAAACTGGGAAAAGAAAGCAAACAGCTCATTTAAGAAATGGGAAGGAGATTTCACCAAAAAATGGATATCCAACAAACAATGGAATTCATGGTGTAAAGAATTGGAAGATCAAATATAAGAAGAAAAATTTATAAACAAAAAAAAAAAAAAAAAAAAAAAAAATTA